AGCAGAAGCTTGATCCCAGGTCATTTTTCCTACCCTTCATATCACAGACCATAGAATAATGTAAATGTTTTTGTTTTCAAGGAGTGGTACAGAGAACCAGCATAAGTCAAGCCAAACACAATTAAAAGACATGGTTTGGATGTATGAATGTCTTCTCTGATTTTTATTACAAGGCTGCTTGAATTCTATTCTGCATCTAGGAGAAGCCAAACTCATTTTCTAAGAAGCTATGTTGACCAAAACTACAGTTCTAAAACAGACCTGGTGAAGACAAATTATCATCTAGACGTGTACTTACTCTACCATAAGTGCAGAAAATGCACTGTTGCAATGTGAATTGTGTATTAAGAACTGTTGCAGGTATCTGGCACACTTGGCCTTTTGTACAAACGATAAACAATCCATTTAAGTGAATAAGCATCAGTCATGATCATTTCTCTTTATTGAATTTAGCAGTAATTGTATCCATTGAGTTATATCTTTTTGACTTTCAAAACTGGTATATTTTCATATAATGATGAATTCTGGTGAGCTTTTCCACTTCAAAAATTTCATGTTTAGGCTGATGTTTAAAAGAGAATCAGGGATTGTGGGCCCAATCTTGTATCCATTTAGATTATCTGCCCTTCATTATAGATTTTGTAGGACCATAGCCCGTATTTACCTAATTATTGCTGTCATCGCTGTTGGAAAGAATGTGAAAGAGGTTATTCAGTGATGAACAGAATTTTCTTTTTTTTTTTTTTTTTTTTTTTTTTAAGCTAGTGTGAGGTACAGGAATAAAGGTTTAAGCGGCACAAACAGCGAAGTCCCAGTTTTTCAGTGAAGGCAAGGGATAGGCAGGTCTCACCTGCTCGCTGGCAGCGCTCATCCACCATCCGTCCATTTGTGCGTCCATCCCCGTCCGCCGAGCCGGGCCGCCCGGGCGCCGTGGGACGGCGGCAGGATTTCCCCCCGAAGCCTGTTCCCTGTGCGCTCGTCTGTCAGGAAACCGCGCTCCTTGCGAAACCCGAAATGTCTGCCGGGACCTCCTCCTGAAATAGCCCCCAGAGAAGCGGCGGCTGAAGCCGATTTCTAACTTCCGAGCACTCGTCGGCTTTTCTGCTTTGAAACCCCAGTCCCCAGCCTTTACTCTCACGTTTCTCCCGTGTCCGAGGCGCTTCTCGGAGGCGGGAAGGCTGGAGGCCGATGCAGCGGGCGCAGGGGTCGGGACCGGGGAAGGATTGCGGTCGCAGCGCGGCTGCCCAGGGGCTCCGCGCCGCCGCAGCCCCTCCGAGCGCCGCCTGCCCCCGCCCGGCCCCTTCTTGGCCCGGCCCGGCCCGGCCCTGCTCGGAGCCGTCAGTAACTCCGCGGCTCTGGAAGGGCCCTGCGGCCCGACCCAACCGCAGGGACCGGTTCCTCGGCCAAAAAAGGGTGACCTGAGCAGAGTAGCCACTGAGCCCGCGTTTCTGTGGATATCTTAATCTTTGTTGATTAGGTTATCTCGGAAGCAAGCGCCCAGTTTTGTCTTAGTTTTTACTGAAAAAATATTTTATTAACTTGGATTTTTATACTCTTAAGTGTGCATCGGTAGGATGCTGGACAGTAGAGTAAAACAGCTGTATTTGAGTAAAAATGATTAGGCACTGGACAATAGGAGCCGTGTGATATATTTAGCTACAAGAGGATATTTTCAGACAATACCAGGGCTCTTCATTTCCTCTGGTTTACTTTAAGCAAGGATACGAAGAGTTAGAGGTCACAGTTTACTCACCACTTCTACAAAACACCGCTCATAACCTTTTGCTTCTAAACAAACAGAAGCAGCAGCATCACAAAATTGAGGTAGACCTATTTTACACGTCTCTGTTGCTGGAAGCATTTGTCAGGCTCCGTGTTTACATTGCCTCACGACCGGCTAAACACCACACATTTGTTTAAAAGTTTAATAATTAAGTACTTTCCTCCCCTCACTGGTGAAGTTCTCCTTTGATGCCCCTCGGTGTGCGTAGATACCTAAGCTCCCACTTGAGTGCTAAGTTTCCGTCCCGGGAATCAGATCCTTTTCCACCAAATTGCGTCGCCGGATCTGCAATTCCTTCCTCACTGCAAATTAAATTTAATTAAGCAGTTTACTTAAAGCGTATTCGATGTTTTGTGTGAAAAGCAAACTGATTTCCTTGTTTTCTTGAGTGGTAGATTTCATTAGAGAACTACCGAACACAATTAACACAAAATCTATGGGGCTTCGAGCGCGCTTCCAATTTCTTTCCTCTCCGTTGCGAGCGGGAGGATCGGGCTCTGCCAGGCTGAAACACCCGTTTAGTTCCAAAGGGGTCGAAAAAGAACACTGGGTTCCAAAATTTATCCTGGAAATAAATTACAGTGCCAGTTGTTTTCCTTATAAGAGCTTCTTGGCGCTCGTCTAAAAGTCGGACGAGTACCATCACGAAACCGATTTTTAAGCGAATATACATATTTCTTCAGGAATAAAATTATGCGAAATTGGCTCTTTATTAGGGTTTTTGGTAGGATGTTCTTTGCATGCCTCGACTAATAGGTAGGGAAATGGCAGAAAAGAGCGCGGTAATTTACTGGGATTTAACTTTTAATCCTTTCTGCAGATACTATTTTGGCAAGAAATCCCTACTGGAAGAAATTCGGTAACCCCCTTAATTCCACAGGAGCGACTATGCCATTTACACCATCCCTGTTTAGCCTCGGTACAGCTCTTGCCGCAGACCCCTCGCGTGTGCCGTCTCCCCAGCCCGGTACCACCTCCCGGGGCAGCGGTACCGCCGCCCCGCTTGGCTTTTGCGGTGGAACGGCGTGGGCGCCGGAGCGGCGGAGGGGACAGCCGCGGGGGAGCGCTCCCCCGGCGGAGGGCAGCCGCTGGCCGCTAGTGGGAGCTGTGGCCCCGTGGAAGTGCCGCGGCTGCCGCGGCGTGTCGGGCTCCGAGCGCGGCGTCGGGAGCGCCCGCGACCCCCCGGCGCCCTCCGCACCTCCCGGGGGACCTGCGAGACCGCGGGGAAAGCATCTCCAGTGCTGCCCGCAGGTAGCTCCCTCTGGCCAGAAATTAATGATGGAATGAAATAAAACGGCAAGGTGCCGTGACATTGGGATACGCGGCGTCTGGAAACGAATTGTGTCCGAACCCCTTCCCCACGAAAATCTAGAGGGGAAGAGAGTCCCTGAGCAATCGCCAGAGAAAGGCGAGGGAATCCTCGGCCAGCCCCGGAGCCCCGCATTGTCCGCCGTTCTGCATCCCTCTGAAGGGCTCCGCATGTCCGACGCTAATTCAGACAGCCCGTGGCTAATTGTCGCGCAACCAGATAAACTTAGAAAACTCACAGAAGCCGTGAGAAGGGCCAGTGGGAAGCTAGCGCGGAAGCATCCACGGGCCTCCTTCCCAGCAAGGAACCCGCAGAAAGTTGTGCACGGAGCTCCGCGCCAGTGGGAACACGGCCCGGCCCTTTCCCGCACCGCGGCGCGGAGGTGGCCGCTGCCGCGCAGCGCCTGCAGCCGCGCTGCCCCGGGGTGCTGCGCTCGCAGCGGCGGGCAGGGTGAGAGGGAGCTCCGCGCCTCCCGGCCCTGCCGCTGCTCCCCGCACTTTGAACGGCAGCGTACTTGGGAAACAGTTTTAGCAAAGGCTGGGGTTTAGTGCTTATTCCTTTTTTTGTTCCCTCTGATTTCGCTCCATCTGGGCCCGCCGCGCTCCCCGCACAGCCCCGCTGTGAGTCAGAGCGAGTGGACTCTCCCCGCACGCCGGGCAGCGGCCGCCCGCGGCGCGGCGGGGCCGGGGGGTGTTACCTGCCGGCCCGCTCGGCCGGGCTCGGCGCGGCCCCGCCCGCCGCTCGGCGATAAGTGACAGGCACGGCGCCCAACCAGCGCGGCGGCCCGCCGGCGGCCCTATGAGCGGCGGCGGCGGGGCAGCGGGGCCGCGCTTATATGGCTACGGCAGCGCGCTGCCGCCGGCCGCGCTCCTGCGCCGGGGACTCGCAGCGGCGGCATCGGAGGTTGGAAGCGCCGCGCTGGGAACGACAGTGGCTGGCGCCGCTTCTCTTCCCTCGCTCTATTCCTTCTCCTCCGCGGTGGGTTGCGCGTCGGCGCAAGTCCCGCGCCCGTCGTTCCTCCTTCTCAGTCATTCGCCGCGGCGCGCGCTGCAGGTCGCTCAACGGGAGAGGGACGATTTGACGCTGCGACCCCCCCGCCCCCCCGTTTTGGTTTATTTTATTTTTTTACTTTTGTAATCATTATTGTCCGCCCCTGTTTCTTTCCTTGCTCCGCTCCGTGGTCTTTGCCGGCGACAAGGACAGCAGTGCCCCTCGGGAAGCCGGAGCCCTGCGGATGCGCCTCCCCGGGACTGGGGGAGCTGACTCGGAGTGGATTTATTGACTCGCGGTTGCTTCCGAGCTGCCCGAAACAGCCCGAGCTGGTGCCTGTGCGGATTGCGAACTGCGGGGAGCAGTGAGAGACATACAGGAGGAGCCGCCTGCTGAAGCTGTGTCCTTTTCCCCCCGACCCTTTTATTTCTCCCGGCACCCTTTATTTTACCTCTTTTTAATTTATTTTTTGTTTTACTCCTTTTTACGCGGGCCTTAGACACTGTGAACGCGTATGGCGCTCTGGATCCAAATGGGAGTTGGCAGTTTGAGTGGCATCTTCCAAGGCAGCCGGGAGACCCCCACTAAGAGGAAGGACTAAGGCGTTTGTTTTTTGTTTTGTTTTTTTTTTTTGCTGTTGCTGTTACTTCGGAGGTAGCTTGGATCTGACCTCACAGGAGATATTCCTACATGCGAGTGGCATACATGACTCAGTAGATCTGCTTGCAGCTCTCGCCAAGTGCATCGTCGATTCTTACTGATTTTTTTTTAATTTTTTTTATTATTTTTTTTTTTCCTATCAATCATCCCGGCTATTGGGATACCGGGCACCTACCCTGCTGTTGCCGCTCAGGTGCGTGGGAAGGCGCACGGCGGAGTTGGCGAGGCTCCGGGGAGGGACTCGGTGCCGCCTGCGACCATGGCAGCGCGGAGGCGAGATGCCTCCGCCTGGAAGTACTGCTGGGGAGCCGTGATGGTTTTATGCAGAACTGCACTGGCGCGGTCCATCGTTTTAGACCCCATATATTGGAATTCCTCTAACCCCAAGTAAGTTTCCATCCCGCTCCCGCCCGCCGTCTCCCCGGGGACCGGCGCTGTCCTCCGTGCGCGGGGGAGGGACGGGACGGTGCCGCAGGTCGGCCGCGGCCGCCGGCAGACACGGGGACGGGGCGGAGTGCGCTAGCGGTGAGCGGCGGGGGCTCCGGGCCTGGCCGGCAGCGGGATCCGGCTCTTCCCGGGGCGGCTGTTTCGTGTGACGGCGGAGCTGCCCCGTCGCCCCCTGCCCCTGGCGGGAGGGTCTCGGGAGGGAGGAGGGAGGACCGGGGCGGCGGACCGGTAGCGGGCTGGGGAGTGGTGCGGCGGTAGCAGGATAAAATCTGCGGGCAAAGTCCGGGCTCGCCCGGGCTGGAGCAGCGGAGGAACCGGGCTGCGCTGAGCTGCCAGGAAAGGGTGATAGTCTCCAACTTCTCCGTCTGCAGATGCAAACTCATCCCATTGACTCCAGCGAAGTTACATCTGCTTATAACAGGGCTAAATTTGGTTGTGGAGTTGATGGTATCAAGGCACATGTCAGTGAGTAATGAACTAAGCATTACCCATCACACAACCATATAGTGTCATTCTTCATTAACAAACCAAAGCGAAAATGTACATGCGTTCCCAGGACCTCACTTTTAAAAGCTCACTCTTTCAAAAGAGATGAGTTATCTTAAAAAAAAAAAAAAAAACAACAAACCTCTTTACTTAAACTTACAAAATTATTGCTGTTAGAAAGAGGAACTTTTTGAAAAGTGGCCTGTTCTAAAGAAAAGTCTGAGACGGTGATGTAAAGCTACTTACACTTCTCTTTTGTCTCCTTGGATTTTTGACATAAAAAATGGAAGTTGGCTTTGTTCACTTGTGAGAGCCTCTGAACTTCTGTGATTAGAATCACTAGTTTAGAGAACAAAAATCACGATAGGAAGAAGTAGAACTCTAATGAGTTAAGGGAATTTTAAAGCAGAAGTGGGTTAAAATAATATTTATATGCATGCTCCATCTTCAGTTATATATGTTTAAAATGAAATAATATGCAATGTGTTAATTGAATTTAGCGTTTCCCATTAACTCCAGTAAGTACATGTTTTGTTTTCCCGGGGGAGTTTGTAAAGGAAATGTTAGGTGGTGATGAGACAAGTATGAATGGAGTATTTCCTGGATCAGGGATTAATCCTGCACAGGTGGCAGAATCTCTAGGAGTTTGGTGAAGATTTCAAAGTTTGAATTAGGAGTAGCATCTCAAGTTTACCAAGTTATCTTGCCTTACAGTCATCATCTACTGTTGCTTTCACTAAATGAAAAAAAAAAAGTATAGATTTCTGCCTGCATTATTTTTTAGTACTTGCTCTGTTTCTCTTTACCGAGAAGTTTCCTAATCTTTCTTAAAGAAAAAGAACTAAAAATAAAAGAAACTGGCAGGAGAGCGCCGGACTGCTCAGTTCAGAGTCTTTATTTGTAATATTGATTGACAAATACTTATTTTGTATATGCATCAGGTGGGAAGCCTGTTAAAATTTACCTCCAGTCCCTGGCTCAGCGCTTGCATGATGTTGCACAGCTGAAGCCTTTCTTTGGCTTAAGAAAGGCACGGCGTCACTTGGGAGGATGAAGCGGCCTGGCCGGTTATAAAGCGGGCTTTATAAGGCTCTTTAGGCTCTCGAAAGGCAAAGGCTGAGAGCCGGGCTTGCATTGCAGGAGTGGGCCTGCTGTGCTGGTGGAAAACAGCCTTGGCTCGGCCTAGGAGGAAGGGGAATGCTTTTGCATCCCAGGCCTCGCTGGGTTTGTGCCTACAGAGGTCACTCTTCCAAAGCAGAAGAGCCGGCTGCTCGGGGCTCTCTCCTCTGCCAGCCCCAACCTGCTTTCGCTTCTTTTTTAACTTACCTTGATCGCTTTTATTAGCCATCAGTGAAACGAAAGCATCCGAGCAGCTGAATTCAGCCCATCTCACGGAGCCTGGGGATATGCTTCTTTTGTCAAACACGATTTGTGTTTCCATTTAGTTAATTCTAAACTGTTTGATTACAAAAAAGGTTTGAATGTTGTTAATGGTAGATCTAATGATAATATCTAATTACTTTTTCAACTTAAATGCACGCTTAAAAATAGGTTGTGTTGCTGATGTAATTGAATTTTCTTGAGTGATTCATTGAGGCTTAATCACCACAGTGAAGAAGTACACTATTAAAATTAGTCTTTTCAATTGCTGGGGCTAGTGATTTATAGGCCTCTTGGAGGCCTGGAGTTTGAGGAGGCTTGCAAATGCATTCCTGACACTGCTGCTGGTGAGGCAGCTCTACTTCTCCAAGCAGAATTTCTTACTAATTCTTCTCACACTTGTTTGCCTGAAGGATCCTGAATAATTTCTCCTTAGAGAAGGTTGTCCTCACTCTGGATTCAAGCTGATTGTTAGCTTGGGAAGTAAAGCTGTTGAATAGATCTTGGCATGGTATAATAATAAAGCTCCTTTCTCGATTTGAAATAATAACTATCTTTGATGCTGGTTAATTTATTCAGGGAAGCTGTGCATTTAACTCTATTGAAAGTCTCAAGGTAAAAATCTGCTGAACAGGTAGGCAGTTAAAATGGGAGAAGTTGTTAGGTTAATATAAGGTATGAAATAATAAATTTTAGGTTAAGGGGATCGTATAAACTGAATTGGTTTTGCACTGAAGTCTAGGGGTTATAATTTCTAGCAGGTGGCTGGAATGGAGAGCACGCAGTAGCTATTGGAACACAGAGCTCCCCTCCCTGGTCCCCCCTTATCTTTTTAGAGATCTGCTTTATTGCCTTGACCAAATAATGAGATTGAAGTGACCTCCATAAAATAACTATACCTATGACTCTATTGCTTGGGAGTTTAAACATCATTGTTTTAGATGGTCTTGGCATACTTTATAGACTTATCATCTGAAGAACTTTTAGATCACCTGATCTTAAAAACACAGAGGAAAAATTACTCTAGGTTTAACTCCTGTTGACACCTTTTAACAGGAGACTTTTTCTGCCTGTGTTGTTTCTGCCAAGACAAGCAATGTATGCAGATAGCATGGATTACCTCAGTTTCACCTCACAAGGGCTCTGCACTGCCTTTGACATGCTGGACCAGAGTAATGTTATGGGGCACCTTTCAGTGAAGCAGTAAAGAAATCTCATTCAAAGAAATGTCTTAAGCGTCACTATTTCCCTGCGTGCTATAGGCCAGCGATCAAGGCGGGTCTCCTTAGTGACATGTGGAAGGTTATCCTCATAAGTGGTGCCTTTGACACTGATTAAGTTAGATTATATAGCTGTTTTTCTCTCCCTCTGATAACCAGTTATATATGGGATATTTCACAGCCTGCCTCTGAACGAATGCTAACATGTCAGAAACTGATAAAATAAACTACAATTGATGACCCTGCTAAATGTTCTATTCAGTAGCGTATAGACTAGTCTGCTTCTCATTGTATCTGAAATTCTTATTTTTGTAGGTAAACAAATGCACATTCACTACCGATTGAATAGCCCCTTGAACTATGCTCTGCAGTTTGCATTTGGGTTAATCTTGTCGGTTTTAATACAGAGGGAAAAAAAGGAGAAAGCACCAGGGGTGGAATTGTTAGTGCTTTCACATCCACATTCCTCACATTTTGTCAGGATGATAAACTGTAGGTAATGGACAGCCCTTGTTTCACAGGACAGGCAAGCCAGCCAGAGCACAAAGAGCTTGCTAAAACGATATCACACAACATGTTTGGGAGGCTCTCAGCTAGACAGGAATTTATTTGGGAGTCCTGTGCTGTGGGACTACACTTTCTAACCTATGCAATTACAGCTTCAAGCTGAAGAAACAGGAGTGGAAGGTTAAAATTGTTTAAACACATGCTCCTAAATTGTACCCAAAACATAGCTGTTGACACTTGGTGTTGCTAATAGATAGAGCAAGTGGTGGCTTCCAGTCAGTCCATTTGATAGTTCTGGCATTTGTAGCCAGGTCTCTGAAGCACAGGTGACTTAGCAAAATGATTTCAGAATAAACTGAAGGCCGATTTCTTGAGCTGGTTATTTTCCCCAGCCTTTTATAGGTAGAGTATAATTGCTATATTATTTATAGTAATTATGTTAAAGCATGTTATCTGTAAGCTGTGCTACGTTATTTCACTTGGTTTAATGAAGTAATTGCCTTTAGAAAGGCTGTGACTAAAAGTCATGCTAAAATCACTTAAGTTCTCCCTCTTCCCACACATGAGAATGCCTTCCTCTTGGGTTTTTTTTTTCTTCCCTTTTTTTTTTTTTTTTTTCCGCTCTTACAATAAAACACGTAAGATCACATTGCTTGAGGTGTGACACTCTGGATCCCCTCAAATTCGGCCAAGGTTCCTGGCATGGGAAATCAGGAGCTGAGGTGGCTGCTCTGGCACAGACAGGCCTTTCAGCCCTGCGCAGCAGCCACAGGCAGGCCTCCTTTGGGGACCTTTTTTCCTTTATGATCTGGTCTTCATGCATCGTGCAAACCTGCAGTACTTGAAATTGCTTGTTGCAAATGAGAAGAAAGTGTTCTTCTGAGAAAAAAATAGTGATTAAAATGTTATTCATGTGTGCCTAATGTCTGTCTGCCTTGGCTTCTGACATAAAGAAACCTGTTTTTCTGGTCATTTATCATACATCTACATGGATTTGCTTATGAGCTCATTCTTTGTGAGGCGTTGTGGAAACTTACATAGGAATGTTAAACTGCTTGAAATATTTTGATTAAAATACTGAGTGCCACAGTACGTAGACTTTTAACTGACACACTGTTGTCTTGAAGGAGGGGAAGTTTTTGTGGGGAGGGGTGGGGAAGGGAGCAGCAAGGGATAAGAGTTTTTGGGGGAGTTGCATGAAAAAGCAGAGGAAGGGAGGATGGCAAATGGACAGTGTTAGAAGGGCTTGGAAAAATCTCCTGTGGCTTCATTGTCTCCTTAAAGCCAGAGAGCACAAAGACAAATGCAGTTCAGCCTTTCTCCCATGATGGAAAATGTAAACCGTTG